ATTGTGTATGAATAAAAAATAATAAGAATGAATGTGTTATATTGCCAAAGAAAAAAAATTGTTTCTTTCCTTGTTTAATTAGAACAAGGAAATGACACTAGAGAGATGCCCCAAAGCAAAAGAACAAAAAAAAAAAAAAAAAAAAAAAAACGTGTCACTCTTAGCCACATTTACTCATTTCATAAACTATGGGAGACGCAGACTTGTTTGTGGGATATTTCTCTAAACTAGTGGTTGGGCCCCTCCCTCTGTTTGTGATCAATCCATCTGCATTTTTTTAGAGAAATCAAAAGAATTTTGGGTCAGCACTAGTGTCACTTTTACACATTTGTTAAATCATGATTTATTCCTAGCATCATTTAAATGAATTTTCTTTTTAAAATTACAATAGATTAAGGCAAATTAGGTTCCCGATTTCTACCATGTTTGTCTCTAAGGAAAATACAATATCGTGTAAAATCCCTGTTTCTTTTTTTTTTTTTTTTTTTATGTCTGTTTGTGTTTCTGGTGTTATGGAAATGTGTAAATCCGGCTTCCCCACTAGAATTAGTGGATGTTCTCCAATAGTGAGGATTAAAGATTTCCGGTCTTCTGAGTTCAATTCACAGTGCACTATACACAAACACTGATCCTGTAATGGCAGTGGACATTCAAATATAAACAGCCAGATCTACTAACTAACCTTTTCCTTAGGCCACTGGTGCCTTGCAAAATTAAGTTTGTTCTAAAATGTTACAATACTATAAATCTATAGGAATAGATATGGGATAGATATCTATAAATGAAATACTGAATGGCAGTTATTGTGTATTGAGAAAATTAATAATAAGTAAAATAATACATGCCATAAAAATAAATTAAACATATTGCCCTTAATACAAAATAATAATAATAAAGTAATGAAAGAAACTATCTTAAAAAATATCTTAAAACATCAAACATGAAACACATTTTAAATTAAATTTAAATAGCACAATTACTATGGATGAATTATAGTTAATTAGGGTAATTTAATAAAAATGAAATTAATTTATTTGTTAATAATATAATAGCAGGAAAAAGTTATTTATAAAAATTCAAATTATATTTTCCTATAAAAAAAAAGTAAGGAAAAGAACATGAAAGAAACCAGTCTTTAACCGGGAGGGACCTTCATTATACGAGGACAGGCCGCTAGCCACTGGTCTATCGCTGTTGTTACTGAATTGTGACATGAACTGCCTCAATTTGAGCTGTTTAAATTGTAAAAAAAAATGTTTTTATCCTCACGTCTTAAAACTGGAGACCCGTGGGGTCAGAAATGTCTTTTAAGGGGGCATCACTCACTTTAAAAATAAAATAAACCAGATCATCTCCAGCCAGCCAGTCATATTGGCCCTTCAACATTGCTGTGGTGCAGCTGACAGTTGTTCTGGTAAAATAAAGGTCCGTCTATCTTGAGAGATCAAAACTAGGGTTTTCCAGGAGGAATGGTGATGGGACGAGAGAAGCCCATAGAGGTAGTCCTCTATGCAATGCCATACTGGCCTTCTATGTCATGTGAGCCCAACTGTCCCGTAAGTGGCCAAAAACATTGCTGGGACGTATCCGCTACATTAAATATATTGGGCTAAGCATAATCTATGATAGTAAAGTTATAAAGAAAAGAAAATGACCTGCCATATTATATGGTCACAAAAAAAAAAAAATTCATCATGTTGGCCGCAAAAAACCCTAAGGACAAAAATAGGACAGATTGAGGTCCTGAGGGATCACCTCTCCTGGGAAGACTTTATGCTGGGATGTAGCCGGGTTTGGACTGTCGGGGATAGTTACAGAAAAGACAGGGACAAGGAACTATAATTTGCCACTTGAAATATAAAGTCATCCACAGGAAAGGAAAAAGAGTTGGTAGAAGAAATGAAAATGTATAAAGTTGACATAATGGGGCTAAGTTGATGGAGGCTATGGAAAAGAGATGTCCACTTACCAAACATTACCTGATTGGTATAATCTAGTGTACTCTGGTGTCAGTGTGAGAGATAGAGCAAAGGAAGGAGTTGCTTGTGTGATGGAGGATGAAATGCACTAGAGGATAGAGCTTGGCAACCAATTTTAGCAAGGATCATTGTCAGTTGGTAAACCTACTGCAATGCAGGTATATACCAAAAACTTATAGAATTCTGCTTTGAAAATACTCCTGCAACTCCTGGTTCAAACAAAATGATTTACAAGATCACTAAGAGTAGAGGAGAATAAGCCATGAGGATGACCATCATTAACTATTTTATAATCGACTAGGATCTAAGAAGGCTTTTCATTGATATAAAAGTCATAATACGGGCAGTATTAATCACAGACCATAAACTACTTATAGCGGATATGGAAATTATCAAACCAAGAAAGAGATTCAGGAAGTCTATGATCGGATTGATGTTAGTAAGCTGAAAATGGAAAATTAATAAGAAGAATATAGGCCACTGCTTAAAAGTCTCCTCTAAGAAGTAATAAGAGAGCACACCGGATAACCTCCGGAACAAAATTAAAAACTGGATATACAGCAAGTGAAGTATGTAGCTTATAAAAAATAAGCCCTATACTAATAAAGCAAAATGGTGGAATGGTGAGGTTAAGCTCAAGTAGGAATCTTAGAAAACTTATGATAGAATCAAACTACCTATTCACCAGGATGAGTATGTCAGGGTCAAAAATAAAATCAAAAGAATAATCATATCAGCTAAGGCAAGGACTTGGGAGAAGAGTATATCAGGAAGTTCTGGCGTATTGTGAAACTCTTGAAGAGTAAAAGTCAAAGCCAGTTAGAAACATAAAAGATAAGCATGGAAGTTGGTGACCAAAGAAAAGGAAGTGCTAGAGATTTGGAGGTTTGGAGGCAGTTCTTCCAGGAGAAACTTCTTCATCGTAACTACAAGGTCTGCAGAAGGAGAGGAAGAGTGGATGAGACTTATCCTGAAGATAAGGACGATGCGATTGGGGAAGACGAGGTGGAGTTAGCATTCAACAAAATCCAGCAAGAAAAAGCTTCACGGCCAGATGGCATAGAATTGATTAAATATGGAAGCAATGAAATGATTAAATGCCTCCAAATGCTGTTCCAAAAGTTCTGGAACATTAAGTTAATGCCACAAGGATGGGAAAACAACATCATGATCCCAATCACAAGAAAGACAACCAAAGTGAATGTGAGAACTATAGGTCAATATGTTATCCTCAATAATGTACAAAATATACACTAGAATTTTAGAGCAGTGACTGCGGCGTTTTATGGAACAGGACATTGAAGAGGAGCAAGAGTTCATAGCATTTCTGGATCTGAGGGTGGCTTTTGACTAGTCCAGAGGCAGGAGATATGGGACACACTAATGACAAGAACAGTGCCAGCTATCCTGGTGAGTGTCATTAAATCAGTGTATCAAGATCCAAAGGCCACTGTAAGACATCGTAGCCTTTCCACTTTTATAAGGGAGTAAAGCTGAGAGACAGCCTTATCTTCCTCCTATTCATCCTTCTCGTGAATATGATGTGGAAAGTGTGTAAAAGGAGATCTCCAAGAGCAGTACTAGAATTCTGAAATCTAACTCCAATACTGGCAATAGCCATGATTATGCTGATAATATCGTACTGATCACTTATTCTTCAGGCATCCTTGGATGAATAGAATGAGGAATTGAAAATAAGATAATTACAAATATAAGCTAAATCATATGTGTTGGAAGATAAGATGTGAATTTTATGTAATAGTAAACCCATACCCAGGGACCAGGAGATTCTAAATCCTACCATCGCTCTACTCAATACCATCACTATCCAAAATTAACTTAAGCAAGCAGGAAGTGAGTAGAGATACTAAAATTCAGATATTTAATCTGTGTTTCTCCCAGTTTTCCTGCATGGATCAAAAAACTGTACAAACCTTGACCAACAAGTAAGTAGGATTACAGCATCAGAAATGAGATTCCTTTGAAGAATAGTTGGTAAGACCAGGAGGGGCTCTTGGAAGCCAGGTCGGAATGAAGAAGTCCTGATGGCAGACCCAGAAGCATGTACTTGCAGTACTAGGAGCAACAGTGGATACACCATACCGGAGATGAGAAGACTAGCCAGGGGTAGGGACCAGTTGGCCTCGATGGACTGAGGCTGCAACTCCAAACTTGACGACACCCAGGAGTTAGAGGAAGAAGAAGTAAATCTGGCTTTAGATCCAATTGAACTCATTGGAACCCACTTGTCCTCCTACTTAATTTGGAAGCAGCTGTTTCAATCTTCATTTGATATTTTAATTCTCTGCTAGAACTCAAATTACAACAGGCCATAGTTGATCCTAATTTATTGTTCCTTCATTAAACTATCCTTTAAGTTTGTAAAATAAGACATTTTGTTAATAAAGCATTTTATTGGCAGTAGTGGGCATACGTATATCCAACTTCTTAACCCACTACTGCTGAAACCCTGTGTGCCAGAAATGGCGGGTAGGGGGAATAAAAAGCATAAAAATAAAATAAAATAATTAATAATTAATATTATTATGTGTGTAATATTAATATTATTAGGTGATCGTGCAGAATTCAAGATCAAAATAATGGTTTCTGCCATATTCTGTATTTGATTCCTTTCAATATCAGCTTTTCTAAAAAATATATAAAATAATTATATTTATGCTTTAGTAATTTTTTAATTTTCAAAATGTATTGTACAGAGTAAAGGAATAGCAATTTATTTTTAAATGTTTATAATCGAGTAATTTTTTGTTGTTAAAAATTACTTTACTATTCATATGTGTATTCATAAAAAAACTTACTGACACATTCCATTTGCCATTAAAGCGAGATGGAATCGTCCTTTCTATGGGAATGGCCCTAATATAAATAAGTCCGGATTCTTCAGTCAATATAAAAAAGTCCGGATTCTTCAGTCAATTTCTTAAAAACCTTGAGTCTTATTTGGGAAATTACATTAAAATATTTAAATATGTCTAAAGGTCTAGATGTATTTTCTTTTAGGAGTTCAAAGGCGCCAACGCAGAGTACTAGATACTAGTTCGACATATGTCAGGGGTGAAGAGAATTTGGACGGATGGAGGCCAAGAGGTGATAGCCTGATTTTCGATCATCAGTGGGAGCTGGAGAAACTCACTCGACTGGAAGAAGTGGAACGAGTGCGACATACTCTTCTCCTCAGGGAAAGGCTCGGAATTGACAAGACTCCGATCAGTAAGAGTGAGAAAGTAAGTTTGTACCAAGAGATGTTTAAACATCCTTTTGAAATTTAATTCTCTAATGATACATTAAATTATTTTTGCTCAATTTAACAATATTATTGTTTATTTAAAGCTGATAAAGATCTAGACCTTAAAATAAATATATGAAAGAAAATATATTGTTAAATGAAAAATTGGCTACGATTTTGGTGATATAGGTTTAGGAGGAAATACATTTGAACATATATAGAAGTTTAGGTATTTAGGATCTACAAAAACTAATAATTATTTCATAAAAATGAAATCAAAGAGGAAATTAAGGCTAAGTTGAAGGTAAAGAATATTTGTAATTTTTTTGTATCTAAACTATTTGCCTCCTGTCTCGAAACTTAAAAGTTAGAATTTACTAAACTATTATCCTTCCCACAGCTCTTTGTGAATGTGAAATGTGATTGCTTACAATAAGAGATGAGCAACACCTTAAGGTTTTTGAAAATAAAGTATTGTATACAATATTTGGACCTAAAAAGTATTTAAGTCAACCGAAGAATTAAGATGATACACAACATTGAGTTGCGTGAACTGTATCCAGTAAATATAATTGAGAGGATGTAAAATTGTTCGGGTTAGTAACGCAAGTATCCGTAAAAGATTAATATGTGTTGTACTGGTTGGGTAAGCACCTGAGGAGAAGACCTATGGTTTCTACACAATACTTTATTGTTCATATTAATGCACCGTACTGATTGGGTAAGCACCCGAAAGGTAGACCTTAAGTTAGTATGCCCTGTACTGATTGGGTAAGCACCCGAAAGGTAGACCTTAAGTTAGTATGCCCTGTACTGATTGGGTAAGCAGCTGAGAGGTAGGGATAGGGATAGACCTCATGAGATGATCTCATTAAGACTGATCTGCCGGTAAGGGAGAGGGGGATAGTTCAGACAGCAGTTGGTAGTATCGGCTGCCAACTTATGTGTTTGCTAAGCCTTTATTATTTATATTATTTTTTATTTTAAAATCAGGTTATCATAAATCTATAAACTTTATTTTATATTTTTAAGGAGGTATGTAACATGGTTGCCAAAGCGACGGGATCCGATGGCCGTGGAAGTCCAGTTCGTGTAAGGCCTGTATCCCGCGATATTTATGAGCCTTGGGAAATGACCGACCGGGAAAAAGAAATTTCTACAAAATTCATCAAACTTATTCAAGGAAGAATACCATCCAAAGTATGTATATCATACAATATTACTAACTACTTTTTGTTATTATTATAACTATCATTAATTTAATTTGTTTAAATTAATATTTAAACAACTCGAGAGAGAACCTTCTGGGCGGAGCTTAGGCTGATAGCTTATACTCAATGAGAGATAAGATTCTAAATAACTTTAGACAAATATCTTGTTTAACATTTTTTGTTGCCTTGTCAAAATTTTTTATTGGTTTTACATACTTTGAATTATGTGCTCTAATTCTTAAGTTCATTTTTTTTTTTTCATAAGAAAAAAATATTGTTAAGTGCATGCATGATCTCTAAAATGTTCTTTCTAAAGTTGTTTGTTTATAAATAGATTTGTTTTTATCCTATTTATTATTAAGTATCAATTAATTTATTAAAATATCTAAATGAGAACGGTTGGATGGATCTTGAAATCAGGGAAAAAATAAGACTGTCCAAAAAATGCTTCCATTCACTAAAAACAGGCTTCTTAGGGAAGAGATAAATGTTAAGAAAACTGTGTATAAAAATACAGTTGTCCCCATACTGACCTACAGCAGTGAATCCTGGACTATTATCTAAAAACGCAAATACAAATTCAAGCGATGGAAATGCGGTTTCTGTGGAGAATAGAGGAAAAAACAAGAAGAGGCAAAATCAGAAATAGGATAAAAACCAATTTAGAAGTAAATCCTGCAGAAAATACAATAGAGGAAAACAGGCTATGCTGGTATGGCCATGTTAAAGGAATACATTAGGGATGAATGGTCATAATTATGTATGAAGGGAAAGGAGAAGGAAGAATGCCATGAGAAAGGCATCCTCTCCGCTGATTTATGGTAGAAAATGATCAAGAATCGATTAAGGGTACTTGTCTGATAGCAGATCGGGACAAAACTTCCCCTGTTATCTAATGTTACATCACATCTTATCTCGTCAAAGCTGTGAGTTATTCCATTGTTTATTTTTGTTATATTTGTGTGATTTTCATCAAATTATGGATATTATTACATTATGGAAATTACCATCTTCAGAAGAAGAGGCTATCAAATATTTTCAAAACGGCGGGATAATTCCAAATGTAAAATTGTGTGAAGAAGGTCATCAAATGAAGTTAGACAGGAAGACGAAATAAGACTTGTGACAAAAACGTTTATATAAGGAAAGGAACGTGGTTAGAGGGTTCGAGGATTTCGTTTTTTATGGCTTTAAAATTAATTTATGGGTTGTCCTGTAATTTAACAATAATAAAGTGGGGCAAAGAGTAGCTGAAACTATCCAAGGCAACTATGATAACGTAAAACAAATTTTTAACAGAGGTTTGTGCCTATAACATGTTATACAGGTCAAGTAAAAAAATTGGAGGGCCTGGCAAAGTGGTTCAAGTAGACGAGTCTTTTTTCTAAAAGAAAAAAATCATGTAGGGAGAGTTCTACCTGAGCAATGGATGTTTGGCAGAGTTTGCCAAGAAATTTTATAGTGTTTGCATTGTTTCTTTTATATGTACATATGTTGTTTACATTGTTTCTTTTATATGTACATATGTTGTTTACATTGTTTCTTTTATATGTACATATGTTGTTTATATTGTTTCTTTTATATGTAAATATGTTGTTTAAGTGTTTTTTTTATTATTACATTTATTTTTGTCTATTTCATATGTATGTTGTAAAATTAAAGTGTTTTGTTATTGTTGTGGGAATTATTACATTTCTTTTTGTCTATTTCAAATCAAACTGTTTTGTTATTATTACATTTGTTTTCGTCTATTTAATATATATGTTGTGAAATAAAAGTATTTTTTATTTTTATATTTGTGTTTGTTTTTGTTTACAATTTCAATAATATGAATATAATATTATAAATATGAATACCAAGGTAGGAATTATCAGTGTCTTATCAGAGTTATCAGTGTTGAGGTTATAAACATTGGCAGGTAGCAGTCGATCCAAGACAAGTACCCAAGTAAGCTATCAGGCAAGTATCCTACCTTAGTGGAATAGAAAGGAGCATATTTAATTGCACTGCTCGGCCGTCTAGGTATGGCTTCATGTCCAGACTGCTTCTTCTTTACCAATCTAGAAGCAGTGAAGCTTTTGGCAGTATGATGGTTCTAGATTATGTTATCGAAACAGAGAAAAGAGCTTTCGTGATAACAGTCACATTGCTACTTTTCAATTCCTTTTTTTTTATCAAGCCTAACATAATTAGCAAAGCATTTTTGTAAGGTTGAAGTAGCAAGGGTATTTTATAGAGAGATTTAAATATACCTAAATCCAACTAACTTTAAGTAATGAAAAAAAAAAATTCATATAAATACTCAAATCTGAATATTGAAAAATTATTTTGTCTTTTTTTAATTAAAGTGCTGATTTACTAATTAGCTAATGATAAAAAAATACTATCCGCATCATATTATCATTCTTTTATCATATTCTTTCGATCATGAGATGAGACTCATATTTTCTATTCAAAATACTACACTAAACGATAACTTGGTAGATGGTGGGCAGACTGGTTAATATTTCATAGTGCGGACATAACTTAACCTCATTATTCCACTGTTAAGGTAAGCAAGCACGTTCTGCTAGATAAGTAAGCATTAAGGTAAGAGGTGATAAGTAAGCATTAATGGTTGGCAGTAAGAGGTGGAAGTCTCTGCCGAGGGCAGCATCAGCCAAATAGTACCTTAAGCAGAAAAAAGAAAAAGAAGACTGGTGGAGGACTGAGATGCATGGAGGTGTGATAGAGAGAAATAATCTGTTAGTGATGATATAGATAACTACATGGGAAATATATAAATAAGCCAAGATAAAAAGATGGAAAGTACACATGGGATAATGGTAATATTAGTTAATGAAAGTACACATAATGGTAAGATAGTAGTAATATAAACTTAACGCTTTGCCTAGAAAAAAATAAATAAATGGGTATATAAATATTACAAATAAATTAACTAAATGATTAGTGCAAATAATTAAATTATTATAGTTTTATCCATACTTCTAATACTTGTATTCTCCTCATAAAATTAAAATTACAGCCAACAATGTATCTATCTCTAAAATATCATCAAATTTTCTATCTTTTTTTTTTTTTTTTTAGGAATTACCTAAGATCGGTGGTGATGTTTCTCCATCGTATGAAGTTTCTGAAATGAACACGAGTATATCAACTAACATGACAACATCATCTTCAGCATCAGAGTAAGAAAATTCTTTATATTATTAAGGTATACTACTCATCTATTAGAATGAATATAGTATAAGACTTCAATGGAAGTCTTGAGCCAATAAAAGAAAAAAAAAAAATATATATATATAAATATATTCATATATATATATAGCTGAAGCAATTTGTAAAATCTGATTTGAAAAATTATTTTTCCGTTAGATAGATGTTTATCTAGAAAAGCTTTAAATCAATCCATGAAACTTAAGACAATTACGCTAGCAAAGTTTCTTGTAAATATTGCTTAGTCATGACGGATGTTAATAATTTCTCTGTGGTGTTACAAAAACTGTTGGAGCTTGGATATGAAACTTCGCCACACCGTCCTATGTGGACAATGCGTTTTTGGAGTTTATCAATTCTAAAGATGGAAAATTCTAGTCCGAGGGAATGGAAATGTTTCCAACTCATTGGCATAAATGTATTGATAATAGTGGAGAATATTTTGATTAAATGAAGTAGTTATAAATCTTTCTTTTTTCTTTTTAAATCAAATTTCTGCATTATTTTCTGGACAAACCCAATAAATTTAAGTCTCCATGCAGATTTAGATTTAAATAATCTAGTTTTATAAAATGTATTTTGTTTTTTAGTTTGATATCTCCTGAAAGGTTGACAAGGCCTATTATATTGCCCGAGCAAGTAAGCTATTCTTTGGGCAGAAACGAAACTGCTAGTCCATCAGAGCAGTCCCTTATTCTTTACGTCCCGGAAGTAGAAGAAATTAGAATCAGTCCTGTCATCGCACGCAAGGGTTACCTTAACGTACTTGAACAGAAAACAAATGGTTGGAAGAAGAGATGGGTGGTAAGTCTAGATGAATTATATTGTTTTTATCTATTTTATAGTGAATAGAAAAAAATTATTAAATTTGTTATTTTATATAAAGATTTGAATCTTCTCAAATGTCTTTTAATTTTATTAAACAGTAAAACTTCTCTATAGTTAACACCGATGGGGGATTAAATTTTGTCTAATATTGAGAAATGACCATTATCAAAAAAGTGGGAGAAAAAAAATGTTAAGAAATAAAAATTGGCAGAAAAAAATAGTATTTTATGAATTGTATCAATGAATTATTTTATTATTTTATTTTACCCATAACAAATAAATAAATACTACTATAATTGTTAATGAGGATTTATAAGGAGACTTTATAAGTATAGGCAGTCATTTAGACCTTAGTAGTCTCAATTAATAAAAGAATTTACTATAAAATTATCTAAATTTTCGCTACGTCAGGCATCTTCAGGGACACAATCTGATTTCAAAAAATGTTTTCAATCGTCATCTGAAAAATACATAAAAAGTCTCTCATAGGACTTTTTGGCAGACACTAGTCCATTGATAAATTACTACTATTATTGACTATATTACAATAATTATTACTACATTAAAAAATAATTATTACTAGCCAAAAATACATAGATGAAATAAACAAAACCTGCTTGCGTACAGCAGTGCCCAGTTTTGCACACCTTGTCTAGTACAGACAGAATAAAACCAATCCTTCCAGGGAAGGAGAAGAATTCCCAACATTCAAATTGGTTGTCAAATTCTTCATTGTCTATAAGATAGGTTCTCAAACAAAGAATCTGAGAAGTTCAATTTTTTATAATTATTTCCAGCAACCTCTAGTACCAAACTGAATTCTGTTATCTATATTTCAAGAGAAATTAAGCCTTAATAAATAGAATTAAAGTTCCCTGAATATGAGTCTCATTGATTAAATGCTATCCGATAATAAAAAACATTTCATTAAATATCCTTATATAAAGCCTAACCGTTATATGGAGAGTCAGTTATTCACAAGTCCCAAAATATCCTAAAATGATTGAAATTAGTTGAAGTTCACAAGTTTCTACTTACTTATTTGAATTTTTATTTAATATGAACTTTATTGGACACTTGTTATTAATTTCAGGCTGTGCGAAGGCCGTATGTATTTATATTTAGAGATGAAAAAGATCCTGTTGAGCGAGCTTTGATCAATCTCACCACAGCTCAGGTTGAATATTCAGAGGATCAGCAGGCCATGGTCAAAGTGCCAAACACTTTCAGGTATAACATATGATTAAGTTATAATATTTAGATATTAGCATTCATAAACTCTCAATCCTATTCTTATTTAATCTTAATTTATTTCTCCACTTCTTCAGTGATCAATATTTCTGTGTGTGTTTTTTTTTGGTAAGGAAAAAATATTTCATAAGACAAAGTGCAACTAACAAAAAGTTACACAACAGTGTGAGATTCCTACTCACTAAAAAAACCACCTCCCAATTCTTCTTTACCACCCCACGGAAGTGCTGTCAATCATTACTTCGCAGAGGATAGAAGGGCTATGTGCTTGCTTCTTCTTTGGACATCTTATTACAGCTAAGCCATTGCCTGACCTCTCCTTTCTTGTTTCTGTACTCTGAGCCTTCTGCTGATTTCCGCTGCATAGTCCACTGCAGCACTCCAATTCTCCTGCCTAGACATTATCAAAGTGGCAAAGTTTTCCGGAGGTAATTTTGTTCTGAATTTCTTGTCTAGCTCTTCCTTTTCTCAAGCAAAACCTGAACAACAGAAGAATAAATGTTCCACTGTTTCATCAGTGGATGAGGTAACAATCTACCTCCCCATGTTTCCGGGATATCCATGTTGTTAAATCGGGAATCAGACAGTGGGTCCATCTTCCAGAAGATGAGGCATTACAGCCTATCTCCTATCTTTTAAGAGTATAATTTCTCTCTTTTGCTAAAGTAGGCCAGTGAAAATCCGGTTCTTCTCATTTTCTTCGGAACATCCGACTGTGTTCATCTGCCAAATGATCAATCGGAGGCATATCTGCGATGACGCATATAGCTTCGTAGGACACAGTGCGAAAAGCTCGAGCGACATGCAGGGCACTTTTTCAATGCACACTGATAGCTTTGCGGACATATGACTGCACCTGGCAGGCTTCCGCCAGATTGGTGCTGCTTAGAGAAGCGTGGAACTCGCTACATTAGCCAGAAGCTTTCTCTGAGTTTTCTTGGTCCACCAATATTTGGCATAATCCTGGCCAATTCGTTAATTACTTGCACTGCTCTTGTGCTAACTTTATGCAAGTGTTCGTCAAATTGAAGTCCAGCGTCCATCTCCACCCCGAGATATCTAATCGATGGCTTAAATAAGTTATCAAATTCCCCGAAGGTGAGATTGAATGTCTCCCTCAATTTTCTATTAGTTATTAATAGTGCCTCAGTTTTATGCTCAGCATGCTGGAGCCATTGACAAATGGTGAGGGCTGCCTTTTTTGCATTATAAGTTATCTCCAAGAATTACCCACAAACTATGATTGTCCAGAAAGCCGAGTGTAATTGTTTCTTCAGACAGGGGTAGCCTGAGTAGCGTATCATACATAATATTCCACAGCAATGCCCCTAGAACTGAACCCTGAGGAACACCATCTGTGATCTTGTAACTTTTTAATCCAGCTTCTGTATCATACCTTAAGATTCTATCATTGAAATAACTCTCAATAATCCTCGTAAGGTATTGTGGGACTTCCATCCTTTGCAATCTGTCAATGATACAATCCCACTGAGCTGAATTAAAAGCATTCTTAACGTCCAACGTTATAATGGTACTTTTTACCACCTCTTTCCTGCAATGGCTTCCTAGACAGCTCTGATGGCAAACCGTACTGATTATCAGATAATCCTCAGGCTCCTTCACTAAAGTTGTTCAATCTATCATAATTGATCCTCTCCATTACCTTACCATTAGTATCCAAGGAGACATATTGGGCTGTAAGATGCGGGAGACCCTTTTCCTTTGGCAGGAGCACAAGATGATGCTTCTTCCACTGTCTTGGAAAGACACCTTCTTTGTTGCTGACAGAAAACTTGAAATTTGAAGGTATTCCATTATAACATAGACCATTAATTCCAAATGTTCCATATGGTAAAAAAACATTAGATACTTTACAAGAAGTGGATAAGGATAAGGTTAGAAAACTTAACGTCTAATTCAGACATGAATGATATCCGTCATTGGATATATTTCAGAGCAAGATCAGTGGTTAGCGAATTGGGGATAACGAAGGAATGTTTAGCAGCACCAAAAGAAAGGAAAAAACATGAAATGATTAAAAATTTACCAACATGGAAAAGAAGACTAAAAAATAAAATTGATGCTATCTGCAAAGAAATCGAAATAGTGACAAATTATTTAAGAAACCCCACTGCTGCAACCTTTGAACTTAAGAGAAAAGTAGATGAAATTGTAGTTCTCCATTGATCCTCCTAATAGATAAATTTAATATTTATTTAGACAATAATGAACAGAAATTGGCTGTATATGGTAATAGATTAAAAACATACATGGATGCAGGATTAATTGTTTCTATCAAAGCAGAAGACCTTCTATAGTTCATTAATTCACCAACCCAAACTTGGTGCGTTACATATCAATGAAAAAGAAACAGAAAGTTTTTGGTCTAAGATATGGAAAGCTCTGAAACTAAACAATTTTAATGGATCTTGGATGGACAAGGTTCAGAAAAATACAGGCTTGATTTATCCGATGGATGAAATAACGTTAAGGAAGATGTCAAACAGGCCATTAAAAGAATGAAAAATTGGAAATCACCTGATCTAGACAATTATTGTTTAAAGTACTGGTTCATAATTATTGGTCAACGTAGTTTACTAGTATGCATACGTACTTAAGTACAACGTACTTAGTATGCATTCAATTTTGGCCGATTATTTTACAAAACTATTAACCAATGCCAGTATTCCACCTGATCACTTCTGTAAAGGAATAACATATTTAATCCCTAAATCGGCTAAGAATCTTCTTGAACCTAAACATTTTAGGCCTATCACCTGCCTAAATGGGGTGTATAAATTGCTTACGTCTGTGATCAGTTGTAAAATATCGGACCAAGTCTACGATTATAACATCATGACAAAAGAGCAATCAGGATGTAAGAAGGATACCAAAGGATGTAAGGAACTGCTGATATTAGATTTGTTCATAGCTTCCCAGATATCGAAGAAAAAGAGAAATGCTTCTATTGCATGGATCGATTACCAAAAGGCGTATGATTCAGTTTCTCACAAGTGGTTAATAGAGGTACTGAACATGTACAAAATAGACATTAACATAGTGGAGCTATTAGAATGACTAATGAAGACTTGGAAGGTGAAATTCCAATATTTGTATACCTATAAATGGAGGAATATTTCAAGGAGACTCTTTAAGTCCATTACTGTTTTGTCTCGCATTAAACCCACTAAGTGAATTATTAAATGATTCAGGTATGGGTTACAGACTCAATAAAAATGGAACCAGATTATCTCATGCTCTATACATGGACAATTTAAAATTGTAATTCAAGAGTGAAGAAGAACTTGAGAACATGATCGAAATAGTAAAATCATTTAGTAATGATATAGGCATGACGTAGATAAATATAGATAAATGTGCTGGATAATGACACCTGAGAACCCGCATTCCCAGATGGCGGTACTGGTGATCCGATTCCCTGCACCGTAAGGTTTGTTAGTTTAATGTGACTCCCATGTTTGGTTTATTATTCGGGGCTCCTTTCGCTAGTCTGTTCGGTCCACGAGAGCTATTTTATTTCCCTCTTGCCGTCTATTTCTAGCGAGCATCCCCTGGGGGGGACGCACCACTTATGGGTTTCAGACTCCCACTGTAGTGTTTTTGTGTGTGTGTGTGTGTGTTTTGTGATTTACACTATTTAATTGATAACTTGTAGTTTTCAATGAAATATTATTTAAATATATGTAATTTACTTAAGTTACTTCTTTTTCAGTGTTGTGACTAAACATAGAGGATATCTAATGCAAACATTGGGTGACAAAGAAGTCCACGATTGGCTTTATGCTATAAATCCTCTTCTTGCTGGCCAGATAAGGTTCAAACATTTTTTATACATTAGACATTTTCATTTATGTTATCATAATAATTGTGATGAGCAAGGGTGCCCATTCCCTACCCAATGATGATAGCACATGGCTGCCCCCTTTGCTAGAAATTTTATTGCTCTCCTTTTCCTAAAAAGTTCCTCCAAATTGAAATCCTGCAAAAATATGGTTCCCTCCGGCATATAATCTGGTTAAAATTTCCCCACTAATTTCCTATATCATGATGAAATTTAATTACCTACATCTAACCTATATAATGATAAGAGATAATTACTTAAATCTGAACTATATCATGATGAAAGATAATTATCTACATCTAGCCTATACCATTATGAGAGATAATTAACTATATCGTGATAAGAGATAATTATCTATATCTAACCTAAATCATGATCAGCAGAGATAATTGCCTACACCTAACTTATATCATGATGAGAGATAATACCTAGAGAACGGGATGGCTGTGCATGTTGGAATGTAGGTCCCAGAGTGCCCAATTCTGAACATCATGGATTCGATTCCCACCTGGGTCAGTTAATTTTCATTTCTCAGAGGTCCCGGGAAATGGATCTTGACATTCACATTCTTGTCAGTAAGTGATGGCAAGCTCAAGGTAGCCGTCAGGGGTTTAAGCAAAAAGGATCATAATAGGACCCGCTTGCCGGGACTAGATCCCCCACCAAGCACCAGTTCATTTAACTTATAAATGGTTAGTGACAATGGCATTCTGAGGCACTATTGACATTCTGATTGATTGTGTATGGTTAAGATTGGTGTACTGATGGATTTGACTGGCACATTTATGGAAATTACAGCTTCAATCACGAGCAGTGGAGGCGAGAATGAGATAAAGTTAGTGGGAAGACTAACCTTGCTACTAGGTAGGTTAGTTTACCTAGGCCTCATAACCATTGTACATTCGTGGTTTTCATTTAAAATAAGTAGTTTTTCATATCCCTAGTTTATATTTTCATAAACTACCTACATCTAATCTATACCATGATGAGAGATAATTACCTATATCCAAACTATATCATGAGAGATAATTACCTACATTTAACTTATATCATGGTGACAGATGGTTATCTATATCTAAACTATATCATGAGAGATAATTAAGTACATCCAACCCATACCATGATGAGAGATATGATAGGAGAATAGTTATGTAAAAATGTTATATACAGCCTTTTACTAACATTAGCAATATAAATCCTGCCCTTTCTAATTACTATTATTAGTAATTTTCTTTTTCCATATCAACATCCTCAGTTTATACCATTCAGTAATTTCTAAAATAAAATTAACTTTTTGTTTTTAAGTATTAATTAATCAAAATTGTTACCTGTAGGTCCAAATTAGCCAGGAGCGTTCCGCCGACCGCACCACCTACCTTAGTTTCAATGCCAGCCAAATGAACATGTAATTATTGTTAAACCTACCCAGCATGTAACTTAAGTAACTAGATACTACATACACTTACATATTTATGTATATCATAAATACACATATATATGTTTGTGTATGCATGTTCTATAAGAAAAGTATCACTGTAACTTTATCAAGTATACAAATTGTATTAGACTTTGCATTGCTTATATTGCAATGGTAAAAAAAAAATCTAGAATAATTTTTAAAATAAGTTTCCATTGCAAATTGTATCTGTTTATTAGTCACCATATAGATTTATATATTTTTCCAAAAAATCAAAATAAATGGATTGATGTGTTTTTAGTTTTGGAAAAGATATTTAACTAGTATAAAAAAGTTTTTAAATAGTTTTTGTAATTCTGTGATGCTGTTTTTAATGTATAGCAATCTTATTTTTTATCATTTATTTGTTAATTATATTTATTATATGTTTAACATTTAATTTTAGTATTAAAGCATATTGTGTGAGGTTACACTGCAGGCAAATAATCCTATAATTGTTTAAGTCCCATGATTACACTGTATTTCAGTATTAATGATTTTTTAGCCGTGAGCAGTATTTTAGAAAATAGAATCTCATGAGGTTATGTTTTCAAATAGATATATTTATTAAAAACGAACAACCATATTTAGCTGTAACTGATCTATGTGAAAATAAATTTCACTCTGTAGTCTCAGGAGTGGCTGACTTTTTTACATTGACATTTTTATTTTGAAAATATTTGGTACATTCTAAAACATGTCTTGTGTATTAATAAATGACAATCAGGTTGGGAATATTAAACCAGCATGATATTTCATTATTAATAATTTTATTTTATCTTTAATTGTGAAGTCTATGTCTGTCTCCGAGTGTCATAATTGGTTACTAAAAATGCCCCAGTAACTCATGATAACAGCCAAAACTGTTTAGCGTTTGCAGTGGCTTATTGGTCATTCCTCAATTATCTTATAATGTTTGCAGTGGCTATTGGCTATTGGCTATTCATCAGTCCTCAACTATATTATACTGTTTGTTGTATAATTATGAGTAATATTTAAATTCAACTTGATAAAATTCATTTTAAGTTGCCTTCTATGTAACCTCAACGTTATGTAACTCTTTTTATATTTTAGTAAATTATTGTTTCCCATAAAAAATAATAATTTTAATGCCATAAAAAGCTCCAACTCCAAAACTTAAATTGGATTGATAATAAATTTGTTGGTTGTTTGCTTGCTTGAAGTCAATGTGGGGTTGTGAAATAGCTTCAGCTTTTGCAAATTGTACTATAAATTTATACATATATGATGTGTGTATGTATTTTGGGTTTATTGGGGCGACTGTGTGAATATATGTGATATAAATAGAATATAGAGATATAGAAAAATTGTTATTTATTTATTTTATTTTTTAAAAAGTTTTGTTTAACTTTTTCGTTAATTGACAATTATAAAACTGTTGCACATTCCTACGTGAAGCCTATCGTGTGCAATATTATGCCTTATAGGATGGAGGTGTTGTTACTAATATGTATATATGACATGCTGCTTCATATAATTTATTTATCGTTTATTGTTGTATATATATATATGTGTTATATATATTCTTCTATTTTCTTATTTATAGTTTTTCGAAATTCTGGCTTTCTCTTGTAAAATAGAAACCATTATTGTGTACTTTATACTCCTTGTAATGTGATAGTAGCTGTAAATTTTATAATTCGTTAATTAGCCATGTTTAATAATGTAATGAAGAGGTACATGAGTTTTATTGATATGATTTATTAATGCTTATATAGTTTTTCTTTAAAAAAGAAATTGTTAACTTATGACAATTTTTGTTATTTAAATATATGAGAGAAAAGAAAGATCACAACATAATTATTTAATTTTTAAAAAATTAATAAGGACAAATTGACTTGTGTCCCTCTTCCTTACTTTTGATTAGCAGCTCTCTTGAAACACGTTATTTCTGAACAAAGTAGACTTCCTCGTTTCTGTCTGATTTTAGAATAAATAAAAACAAACCTTATAGATGTATTTTTTATATACATTATATCTGGTGCATAAAGATCTCACAATGAAAAGATACAAATAAAATTTATAAAATGAAAAATAATTTTATATATAACCTGAGAATATATCTTTACTACAAGAAATAATTTTTAAAAATAAAAATTGACTAATAGTTGAGCTCAGAACCACTAAGATAAAAAATAATTATTGTAAAATAAGTAATTATAAACTAATTTTCTGAAAATACATGGGAGGTTATTATAAAATTTTCATCTTGTATTATCTATCTCACTATTTGGACTCTCACTGATCCACCCATTGGAAAGGACTAATATAAAGATAACTCCGTACTTTTATTTAAGCAATATATTTATAACTGGTGGGGTTAGAGTATTGCAATCGCTCATGTTTTTTCCTTACATGCAATGTAAGAGTATGTAATGTGGAATTGCTCTTTAATGGAGCACGTTTGATAAGCTACGCATTATACTACATTTCCGAGAGCTGGCCCCGACTTTAATAAGATAATTAGGTTTAATTAGAACACAAATAAGCACATCGGTTATAGTGGCATTAGTTTTCTGTCATTCACTCAAGATTTGTGCTAACTGTTTAACACAATAACTCATTAAGCAGTTAAAAAAATAATATTAAATGATTTTATAAATACTCAAAATGTAACAGAAAATATAACACAAATTATTAATAAATGTTTGAGAAGTAAGATGTTTTTATTAATTAAAAAAACACACACACATATATATATATATATATATATATATATATATATATGTATAACACAGTTGCCAACTCTAATTTGATATAATGCAATTCTTGACCAAAATTATTCATGAAAATGAGAAATGGTGGGGGACAGTTAAGATGGAGTCTACTATGTTATTTTATTTAATATAAATCATTGTTGAGGCAGATTATTGTTAGGTATTATAATTGATTATTTAGTTTAAGTTATTGCTATGTAATATTTAGTTATATAGATATTGATTAGTAAATAAATCTGAATACATTTGCTTAGTTCAATGTATGTCGAGGCAATAATGTCATAATGTTACTTAACATGAATGTTTCAAATTTTTAATAAAGAAATAGTGTTTATTGAATTTTAAATAATAATTCTTATTTGAGTATTTTTAATTATTTTTCTGTTTAAGGCAACAAGGTTCCAATTGTGAGTATAAAATAATGAGTTAAGGATTATATTCATTACATTACGCAAGTAATGTGAATGTAATTATAATCTTTTACTGTCTCATTGGTTAATGTGCATTTTAAAAGACGAGCCTTATAAGTCTTATAGTTCCCGATATATTTTTAGGGTCCAATTCTCATTTTATTTTCACGTTCTCAAAAAAAAAATATATATATATATGTATATATATATATATATATATATATATATATATATATATATATGTATATATATTTTTTTTTTTAAATCAAGGTGCAAAATACAAATTTAATTTGTTGAAATATTTATTTTCAAATTTTAAAAATTAACTAAATATATATATGTAAAAAGAAAATTATTACCATTGAAATATATTTTTTTGTCAGAATTGTAAATTTAAAATTAAAATTCCATGTACACAGGCTGATATATATTATACAATTAAACTTATACATGTGAATAAAGATGATCATGGTTGGGGTTGCATTGAAAACTTTTTAATGGCAGCAGTTCCCGTAAGTTCTTTTTAAAAATTAAACTTTTATTCGATGACAAATGTAAACAAGGTGGAAGAGTGTGTAGTTTAATAAAATATTTTGATATTGTGAAATGACATTTAGAAAGAAAAAAATCTGATGATAATTAATACTAATAATATATCTTTTTATCTCCAATTGTATGAGAAATCTTTCAACTATTGTCGAGTAAATTGTTATGCCTCCATATCTGATTATATACTCATATATACATAAATATATCTATACATATATATTTGAAATATATAAAAAATGTATGTGTCTCTTATATACAGATAATAACTTTAAATTATTATAAATTATTTTTAAAGTGTAATTGAAAATTTTTTTATTGTGGATGCATATTATTATTTATTTTTTCTTATATGGATATTTGACATGGTTGATATTCATAAATTATTTAACATTAACTTATGATATTTGTATATTGAATCATAATTATAAAAAAATAAAATAAAAATGTACATTTCCTATGTTAAATTATTATGAATGTAAAATTTCAAAATAAATGCTTCTAAAGTGAAATTTTTTTCATCAGTGTAATAGTCTTCAAGGAGATGCGGTCTATTTATCACCAATAGTCCAATCGATCAATGCTAAACTTTTTACAGAACACTGGTTAATTTATCAACAACATTGATATATCCGCCTCTCTTGTTGTTTTAAAGAATAAGAATCTGTAATTACCTTATTCATAGCTGCCAACTGAAGATAGATGTCACCCAAGATGGTGGAAGGTTCCAGGTAGATTTTACATTGAGAGTGGTCAATATTTTCATGAAGGTGGTGCATTGAGTTTTTATAATTAATAACAATTAAACAAATATAAGCTCATCAAATTAATAAATAAAAAAAATGATGTGATGAATCACCCAACTTTTATTTGAAATTATTACATTCACATACCCACCCACCATTTATGAAACATACTGGGTGTTTCGTAATTGCAGGGCACTATTTTTTAGGTGTGTTCACTAAAACAAAAAAGTTCATATTAACATATATCTCAAATTCATTTATTAAACAGATATCAAAGGTTAAAGATTTATTATTATTACAACATTTAGAGTAACTGTTCAAATGGGCCTCCGTTTTGTTGAATGCAACATTCAGCACGACGAATCCATGCTTCTCTGGCTCTTCGTATAGCATCAGGATGGTGCTTGATAATTACTCCGGCTTCCACGACCCGATTTCTTAGCTCTTCTTGCTTGCCAACTGCCGTAGAATAAACCATAGACTTCATCCAGCCACACAAAAATAATCTAATGGAGTTAAATCCGGAGATTCTGATGGCCATTTAACAGTTCTGTTTTGACCAACCGTCGTTCTCCATATTTGCATTTAAATAATCAGTGACACTAATAGAAAAGTGATCTGCAGCACCTTCATGCATAAAACACAGCCTTTGCCTAATGGCTAGCGGAATATCTTCTAGGAGTTCATGAAGATTATTTTGAAAAAATGCAAATAAGATATACCTGACAGCCTAGGTGGCAAAAAGAAGGGGTCGATAATGTCGCTTAGAAGACCACACCAGACATTTAAAGATAACATATGTTGGTATGTCTTATCTTTAATGATAAGGTAATGTCCAACAGCAGTCGTATGGGTGGTTAGCGGTCTTCTTTTCTTCAGCCCAAGTATGGAAAATTAAGAATCCTGTTTCTTGTAAAGCAAGTTCATCAGTAACCAAAATGAAGTTCAGAAAGTTAGGATCCCATGTGCATTGTCGAATTAATCACTCGGAGAAATTTCTGTGCTTGTTATAATCTTGTGGTAACAAATCTTGCCTACTCGATACATGAAATGGATACAATTGTTGTTCGCTGGTAGACGAAACAACGTGACAATCTTCTGGTACTAGTAGTAGGAGATAACTGAACAGCATCGAGTATTTCTTCTTCAAAGTTTGCAGTTTGTCGACTAACATTCACTTGTATAGGTTTTAGCATGCCATTATCCCTAAGGCGTCTTTCAATGGTCTCAAACGTTTTACAATTTGCTAATGTTTGGTTAGGAAATTTTTCACGATATTTTTGAACAGGAGCAGCACCGTTTCTATGTACCTCACCATAAGCTAAAATCATGTCTGTTTGTTCTGCAAAAGTGAATAAATTTATGATGTCTCCCATGATAATCATAAATTGAACTGTGTCACAGTATTTACTCACACTAAAACACACAGAACTAGACAAACAGATGAGCAACTACTGTCATTGCTTATTGTTCATTTATTTATCAGGTGATTAAAACCTGTTATTTAGTATTAAATACGTTAAACTTTGTACAGTCAGTCTTAATGTAGTAAATAACTAATAAACCTTTGATATCAGTTTAATAAATGAGTTTGAGATATATGTTAATATGAACTTCTTTGTTATTTTGTGTTAGTGAACACTTAGCTAAAAAAGTGCCATGCAATTACGAAACACCCCGTATAGTAACCAAAAACCACCCATATGTATAGTAAAGGGATGAGAAAATATTTGAGATAGAGGATTTCAGTATCTTAAAACCATCTCAAGATAACAGACCATTTTGCAAGGAGTGAAAGTAAAAAAAAGTGTGTAAATCAGTCCGGTAGATTGTTCGGTTACAAACCAAAAACAGGTTCTTTTATATAATAGTATAGATGGTATAAATTTTAATATTTGTTAAGTGCCATCATTATACGAAAAATTAAAAAAAATTAAGAATGATTATTGGTTGTAAAAATGAGATATTACAATGGCAGGTCTTGAGGGATAAATAATATTTTGTACCATCTATAATTTCTACTTCCACTTACTTTTCTCTGAAAATACCTATTTTTGCTTTTAAAAAAGGATGGTAAGTGAAAGTTGTGTGATGTGTGCATCGTACCAGATTTTGTATTTGGGCGGTCAATGTTATTGGTATAATGTTTTGTTATTAGGGCAGTCATTGTTATAAAAAATTGAAAGACAAATTAACCAAATAACTCATTATATTTCAGTGCCATATACACATTCTAACATAATTATAAAAAATATGATAATTATAATTATAAATGTTTAAGTTACAATGATAAAACAATATATAATCGTATTAAATATTAACAAAATTAAATAATTAACTAAAGCTTGGTTGCTAAGTCAAGGATTGATAATAGCCTCTTGGATTTACAACTTTTCCAAGACTAACCCAATATATAACTAATGGGAACCTTCAGCCTTGGAGTAAACTGCTATTTGATCAATTTTATTTTAAATCTAACCTTATTCTGAGGCTGACAGGACTGAAACCAAACCAGTAACCAGCAGCCAAATTACATTCAAAACAAAAGTCAACAATCAGTAAATAATTGACCATAATAAACAACTATACTCGACTTGAATAAATTTTATAGACCCTATTTACACTATTTAAGACTGATAAATAGGATATTAAAGAGAAATTTCACATTGCAGGCTTTGCAATATAAAATTTGATCTAAAACTTCATTTATATCACCAATGAATTCCATATACTTTCTGCCAAAACCATAAAATTAAAAAAAATATATTCCCTTTAGAGGTGTTGTTTCTCTTTCTGAGTTGTCTTAGCACAATATAAGTACATCAAAAATGGAAAACACAATTGGTCGCTTTTCCTCGTTGACACTACTGAAATTAACTATAAGAGAGATCAATAATAACAAATAATTTTTAACTTATTAATGTAAAATATAAATATTCTACAGAGCATTATTAACATTAAATGACTATTTACTAACATGAAAATATAAAAATAAGAGCATAAATACATCAAAATCGTTAAGAATGAATGACTTAGATATTTCAGAGAATGTAGAGTCAAATCTAATATGTGTTCATAAATAAATAAATTTAAACATTATATAATATCCCAAGTAATAAATATTAGACATTGAGCTCATTCCATTCGACAGATCGAATAATTAATTCATTACATCAAATTTACCCTATATATGTTGGACAAGTTTCTAAAGTCCGCGATGAACTGTTTGCTAACTCATTCAGTTATACATAGTTCCTCAGCATGTATCGATCGAATAACTGATGGTTAAGGAGCCCCATCGCTCAATGGGTCCACAGGATCTAACTTGATTACATCACTGCTTACATCATTTCTATTTCAATTTACTAAATCTGTTATGAAATTGAATAATTCAATAGGTAGGTATTTTATAATCTATTTCTTATTTTTTATATTTTATTACCTTCTGTTCTGCTGGAATCCAGCAGGTATTCCTAAACTCACCATAAATTACTGGAATTCTTCAATCGATGGAATTAACACTGAGTTTAAAAACTTGCCTTTATAACTTAATTATAAGTTCTATGATTAAAAAAATATAATAATTTATATCATGAATTAACATTAAATAGGCGGGATTAAAAAAAAAAAAAAATACAAATGTTCAAAAAAATTGAGCAAACCCAAATTTAAATTAAACTATTTGATACAAATCCATAATGAAAATCAGCAAAGAGCTGAAACCTATATAACAACTTCCTAGTCCGTTTTGCCGATTAACTATAATTTCATTAGAATGAACAATTATAAATATATTTATATTATGTAGTTTCATTAGGTACTAAAGCTTCATCCCGATCTCTCCTGAAAAGTCCTCTAATCGTAGCAAAGCTGGGCAATAGGTCATTGTAAATGGCCATTCCGATGATCAGAAGAACAAAACCAAGGATCTGAAACAATTAATAATTAGTGAACCACTAAGTAATACAAGAAATTAATTAAAATAATTAATCATTAGCAAAAAGTAGAAATAACCATATAAAAGTCTTATTGGAATGAACTATTATACCCTATTATACCATGCCTTATGTCTAATGGTGACAATAAAAATATTGAGACACCATTCTAAAATATTTATGGTTTTCTTTATTTCTCATAAAAGTGATTGAGTAACTTAAAAAATCCAACAATGTTTCATATTAAACCATAATCTTAATAATAATTAAAATTTAATAAAAACGAATTACAACTTTTTTTTATAAGCACGTTTCTATTAGTTTCTTTACCAAACCAAACCAAAATCATAAGCATTTTTTGTTTTTAATTGTAAATTCGGTATGAACTTAGTTTGTTTAATACAGATGAAGACCTACAATGTAAGTTGAAATGAAAACACCCAACAAATATAATCCACACATATTATGTGTGTGACTTATGACAGCAAAGTTAAGTAATGAATTATATGTAATACCCCTGATGCTTATTATTATTATTGTATCAGTAATTTGTCAATTAAGGAAATTGAGCCTTATTCTTAACAGGTGAGGACTCTCCAGTCTAAGATGACATGTCTCTCTAATATGATGTAAGTAGCAGATGGAAAGGTGGCAAGTGCTGCGGGCTTTGGTAGTCAGTCGCTATTTTGGAAAAATTGTAACAGCATGCAAAATCAATAATATTAAGTGGGGCTATTGGCTGGTAAGTTGATATTGACAAAAAGGTTACTTTAACATCCTAGGAATAAACCTAATACGCATGCATGAGTTTATAATTAACCTTGTGTCTCTAAAGTCAGGTTTAAACATTTCAAAAACATCAAGAAACAGGATGCTTAGACATTTCTGTATTTCAGAGAAACAGACATGGGGTATGTTGAGAATCATCTTTGCCCTATCCTATTATAACTATAAAAAGTAACCAAAGAAAGTAAAAAACATGAAAGAAGGCATAAAATTTGTCAAAAGAGATTTATGTTTAAACAAAGCAACAGTCATGACAAACTTCAGACTGCATTGAAAAAGTGTAAAAAATCATTTTTATTTGAAAAATTGAACTAGAATGAAGTAATGCCATATTACCACAATGCTGTCTTAATATTTTAAGACATGTAATGTTATTTGTTCCAAATTACTTAACAATGTAAAATTACATATATTTTTAAAAATGGACCTATTTATTTTAGACAGAATATGTTTTGTACAGAAAATACTGTTTATGATATATAATTAACACATGCACATTGACTTCTTTGAGGAAATTTATATTAGTTTAATATTTGCTTGTTGAAAAAAAAAAAGAAATTGATACATTATTTTTTAATTTAGAATTTTTTAAAGTGTTTTTACCTTTTTTAACAATATTATATTCAAAAACATAATTAATGAACAGCATTAATGGTAGCATTGCTACCAACAACTACTTATTATAAATTAGTATTAAAAATTTAATTATTTGTAGTATTTTATCCTCTTAACCATTATGCATTTATAAAATTGTCATGTGTACAATACAATTAACAGATGTTTTAGTTCAAAGAAAAATTAAAAAAAAATTATTTGAATACTTATATTCATCAAATGCTCAAATTATTAAAAACTATAACTAATGACAAGCAATTCTATTTCAATTTATTATAATCAAAACAAACTAAATGGAAGAAACTCTGCCACGAAGAGGGCACAAAAATTGCTGTCGCCACAACAACCTTCTTAGTCACGGTAACAGCCATAATATAGCAAAACAAATCAACAAGACGGACGCAAGTGTCGAATTAGGCCAAGGAGAAGGCGGTTTTCATCTTTTAGATCACAATCAGATCCCAGATAATATTCTAACATCTACCATCGATGATTACAAAACACCACGCCAAGAAAAGCACACCTGCCAAGTAGTACAAACTGATCCTGTCACCTTTTTAGATACAACTTTCTTCAAAGATTTGATAAATAACAATAATCAAACAAATGCCTCGGTTCAAGCGACAGAAGATTCATCGCAATACCGTTCTTCGGTGTTTTGGAGGTACTTTTGGTACACGATTCAAGCTGTAGTGATACTTCTTCTCATGTCACATTATCACACTTGCGTACTTGGTTTTTGTGAGCATGTGGGATCGTCAGGATTCTTTACGACTGTATCAGAATATGTAACTCCTCACCGTAAAATAGAACATGAATATTTACATAATAAAATAATGTCTATTCTGTCCGATATAACCAATGTTATAACTGAATATATAAAAAAACTTTTTAATGCTCGTTGAAGAGGTTAGCTGGAATGTTTAACCCAGAAAACAGTTTATAAAAAACAGGTCTGTAACATATATAATGTAAATAAATATATATTTGTACAAGGGGATTAAATAATTTTATCCTATGAATTATTCAACCATTATTGAACACCTACAATTCCGTGGCTACCAGACAGTATAAGTAAAATTCCCTAACATTTCCCTATTTAATGATAGTTTTCCCCTCACCAATATGTCTGGCAACACAAGTATTAAAAATTTATAATTTATAACTAAATTTATTCATGATAAATATGAAAGAAAATTTATTACAATATGATATGAGTAAAAATCAGTCTTTTAAATAACAAATATGTTTTAGAGGGAACATTTTTTAAGCTTGGTTAGGATTTTTAACTTTAGAAAACTTTTAGTGATTTATTTTTATCAATTTTATTTTATTTTGATAAACTGAGAGGAGTTAAAAGTTAATACTTGACATATAAAGCTCTGATTTTCTCTATTATAAAATAAAGAGAGCTACAGGGGGATTATAATATTAATTTAGTTTCTGAGTAAATTAATAAGTAATAAATAAGTAAATTAATAAATTAATAAGTAAATTAATATAGTAATTTAGTTTCTTTATTACTAAATACAGAGCAATAATTATCGATATGACACCAACTGTGACATTCCTGGTTAATAAATGCTCTTTTAAGGAGCACCAATCCTAGCTACATGAATTAACTAAACATATAATGCAAAATAAAATTTAAATAATATACAGGTATCTATTGTTTGCCGATATTAACTGTCACTACCCACTCTTAGCGTTAAATTTATATTTCTCTTTAGTACTATAATAAGAATATGGGTGAACAAGAATTTTTTTTTGGAAGAAAAAGTTCATATTTGCTGCCAACTGGAGAGGGAAGAGTCCAATAAGTAGCTTGGCTCAAGAATTAAACCTAATTCTTTCAACAATTTAAAATAATTCCAAGTCTATTTGAGACAGCATGCTGAATGTGGTGAATCTTTTAAATCCAAAAAAAGAGAATCTACCAATGACAAAATCGGTTCTTCTCAATATTCAGCTATCAGGGTTTGCCTTAACTTAAAATCTGCCTTGATTTTACTCGAAAAGACAAATGAATACTTAAAACCAATTTGTTTGATACGCACGAGGATCTACCAATGACAAAATCGGTTCTTCTCAATATTCCGCTATCAGGGTTAAGACAGATTTTACTAGAAAAGAAGAACAAATATTTAAAATACCTTGTTTGATTTCAACTGACCAGTGCTGATATTGACAGTCAAAGGTGGATGAATATAGGGTCCGCAGTCATTTATAACAACTAAGTTTATTCTGTCAAGGCCATTATAAATGATTTCCACTGAATATTTCTTCCCAATTTGAAAAAAACTATTTACATACTAAAAAAATGCCCTGACTTAAACAATTTTTCTCTGACTTCTCCCTGTTTTGAAAATTCCTTGACTTTTCCCATTTTTTCAGGTCTGTCGCCACCCTGACAATAGAATCCTGTATAACCATCTCTTCAGACTAACCACTTAAGAAGCAAAAAAGAATAAAAATTAAAATAATTGTTTGCACATATTTGACAAGTTTCATTATTTAGACTATTATTTATTGGATTGTTTTACTTACACTAATTATTTGGATTATATTTTTTACATTTGATACACTTATCTTTTATATTTATTTATAACACAAAAACATTTTCTTAGCATATTGCAATGTTTTTATTATTGTTATCTCATTTATATGCTCCACTTTTTTTCTTTCATACTTTTATATTTATCATTTTTCTACATTACTATTTTATTTTTAATTTTTTTACTCCACGTCCTGACAATTTTTTATCCATTTCTATGATTCTAAAAGTTTTTTTTTTCTAATACAGCAAAGAATATTTAACTCTGATGTCTAAATACACTGACAGGCAAAAAATTCCACTCACTTGATTTTTTCATGTTTTCATCTAAAAATACTTCTGCCATTTGTAAAAAAAGTTGTATTTGTATATAATACATGGTATTTGTAGATAATAATTAGTATTTATGGAATTCTATAATCTTTTTTACCTTTAATAATCAAAATATGATTGGGTAAGAAAGATTAGAGAAAAAAAAAATTGAAAAAGGAACCATTATTATTCTAAAAGAAATTAATTACATCATCGTTTAGTAGCGCGTGTTTCCTCCTCTTGCCTTCACTACTTCTTGGAAGACGCCTCGCCATACTTTCCACCAGTCGGGAAACGTCCCTTTGCTGGAGGATAGCCCATTCCTCCCAAAGAGCCCTTTCAAGGTCCTGCAGTGTATCAGGAAGTGTTGCACGCGCTCTTATTCGTCTTCCGAAGTTATCCCATAAATGCTCAATAGGGGTTCAAATCTGAAGAACGTGCTGGCCAGGCTAAAACCTCAATATAGTTCTGTTGAAGGAACATCTGCACTATGGGGGCGAAATGTGGGCGTGCATTATAATAGAACGATCGCCGATTTCGTTGACGATAGGCAACACATGAGGTGCCAAAATCTCATCTACATAGCGAATGGCCGTGAAAGACCCTCCACAAACAACAACCAATTCTGTGCGGCGCTCCATTGAAATCCCAGCCCACACCATTAAGGAACCACGTTGAAAAGGTTGGCTCTGGGAAAAATTACAGGCTGCATATCTTTCGTTTCTCCTTCTCCACACCCTTTCTTGCCCGTCTGGAGATCAAAAAGCGAATCTTGACTCATCTGTAAAATGTACAGCAATCCATTCGTCCATAGTCCAATGGCTGTGTTCTTGAGCAAAAGTCAGCTGTGTTACTCTGTGAGTTCTGGTCAACTCTGGTCCTCTTACTGGTCGAAAAGCCATTAATCCATACTCATTTAATCTTCTCCGAGTGGTACGTTCAGAAATTTGCACACCTCGAACTTCTTCAAGCTGATGATTCGCTTGAACGACGGTAAGGTGTCGGTTTCATAAAATTCTCAAAGCCGAAAACCGGTCATCCCGTGGTTCTGTTACCCTAGGCCGTCCAGAACCGGGCCTTCTATTGTAAGAACCAGTTTCCCGAAAACGTCTCGTAAAGTTTCATATGGAACTCTGTGGGCATTAGCTGCATATCTAATGGAATGTCCATCATCAATAAGTGCCACACCACGCGCAACATCCTCAGCACTAAGAGGCATTTTTAAACTTAATATTGAAAAAATTAAAAGCCGGAGACTAAGAAATGTGCTGAAAGAAACGGCACTGAACTAATGATACTGAATAAACATTTTGATTCCATAGAAAGTAAACATTGGAATCTAGGAATCATTTCATTGAATTAAGAATTAAGGGTTATTGTCCTCTATATTAACATTCCTAATTGAAAATAAATAAAAAGATAACCTATTTATTCATTAAAAACAATAGACCAATACAAAGCAGAAATATTTTTAGATGAAAACATGAAAAAATCAAGTGGGTGGAATTTTTTGCCTGTCAGTGTATATTTGCGAAAATATACTTCCATTATAATATCTTCTATTAATAAAAAAATTCTCAAATGTTGGTCAATACAACAAAATAGCTTGAAAAATATAGGTCTACTAGAAAACAATATTAATTTGAAAGCTTAAAGATAGATCATTAAAAGCTCCAGCCAGTACAACAAAGGACACAGTCTATTTCACCACATGTTTCCCTAGAGCCCACTTCTTTCTCTCAATATCGTTGGTAAATTCAAAAAATCATTAAGTATATTTGCGATGGAGCTACACTTTTACATATGTTATTGTTTATTTTGATCTTACTTATTGATAAAAATACAGTAAGTACATTAAATATGACAGTCCACAGTGGAAATTTTATTTTATTGGAAATCGGTAGTTCCTCTTAAGCTGTAGATATACACTTTGGCTCTGTTTGAATGATAGTTATCCAATACTCTTACAAAGTAAATTAAAATGTAATGGAGGAAATGAAATATTTGTGAGTAAAGATGTAGACAACTATACAATAAATGTGCAAATTAAAGTTTAATCATAAAAAAGACAAAATGTATTATAAATTCTTAAGATTAATTTATAAACGAGAAATCCATACCTGTAACTCATGGAATTCCTGCCAATTGACACACAATGAAAACAGATAAATGAAGAGGATTCGAACTGAGTCAAGGACCATCCTTGTAGTTGCTGACATCTCTTTTGTGACGCTGATGCCAGCGAAATTGAAGAAAGCAATACTAATTATAGTACCTACAAAATATAAATTAACAATTCAAAATCTAATAGATGTGTATATTCAATATTATTTAATAATTATGTTTTTAGTCTAGACATATTAATTTAAAAAAAAAATTAGTTCGAAAATAAAGTATTATTAAAAAGGCATTGCTTTTATCAATTCATTATTTCATAAATTCTATGAACTAGCTTTACCCACCAGGCATTACTGTGGCACAGACTGGTTAAATGGAAAAGGAAGGCAGATTATTTTAATATGTTTAATTTCATAATAATTTGATTATGTTAAATAAAATCGTAAACCTCGGATAGTTCTTCACCAATTAATTTGAAATTTTTACGTAACTTACATTAGAATACACTGGTGTTTTTTTATTTTATACATCCTAAAATAAAATCACAGGCAAAAACATGATTTTTTTTTTAACAGGGCCATCTGTGGATATACTCATAAAAGCAACAAACACTGTCAAATATTTTACTGTACCATTTAAATTTTTAGATTCATATTTATTAAAAGTTACAATGCATTGGAACCAAGCTATTCCTTTTACCATAGCATTCATTTTGTGTGCATTAGAGGTGCCTCCCTCTCCCCATTTCAGAGAGCGCCATTTTATTGCTCCCTTCTTATTAAAACAGCTTGAGTGAATGTAGAATTAAAAAACAAAAAAAAGTTGAGAAATAAACTACACTCATACCAACGCAGCTATAATTTTTATACAATGTTACAGAAAATAATTTATCAAAAAGGAAATAAACCAAAATATATGAAAATCCAATCTAATTGGACCCGCACAAGGATTTTTAAACCACTTTCTTTTTAAGTAATATAAAATACTAAATCATCCTTCAAATGATAATCTCTATTACTAAAGCAAATGTAAAGTTCTCAAGTAACCAAAAACGAAAACAAACAAAATCGTTTTTGCAGAAGAATAAGTACGAAATGTTAAGAACGCTATATCTTTACACCAACTCGTCCGATTTCAATGAATTAGTTCCCCATTTTAAAGGGAATTCAAGAAGCCTTCAAATATTAACAGGTATGGTGAACCAAAAATTGTGTACTTTTTGAGTTGTTCACAAATTCTGAATTTATCATAACATCACGATCCTTGATCATTAACGGCTTAATCCCTCGACTAGCCACTATCACATGGCTTGAAACCTACCACTTTAACATTCACTTTTATTTGAGTCCTAGTATAAAAATATATTTAAAATAAAAAATACTATTTGCATATTCTATGTGATATTCCCTATAGATACCTCATTCTTCAAATGCCATCACTCCTGAGAGCCGTAAAACAGATTTATATTCAGAAATATTATATAACTACTAGTTGGCCTGAGCGAATAATTGGTATTGTCTATTGATCAGTAAACAAATGTTGATATGATAAAGAAATAAGGAAATGAAATGTATTTATTTCAGGGAGAAATTAATTTTAATTAAAAATAATAGATCAAAACATGAGCACAAATTAAAATTAGCACTATCTTTACTAAATACTCTCTGATTTTGATAATGTCCCATTTTGTAGGGAATTAAGGAAGCATTCAAATCATAAAGAATAAAATGAACCATAAATTGTATACGAAACTTTTTGAGTTATGTGAAAGTAAAGTTTCCTTTTCTTTGCAAATTTTTCTGACTTTTCTGATGAATGTGCTTATTTTTTGTACCGGAAGGAGAAGATAAACTTCTGTTCGATAATCATTAGATTTGATGAAGAATTATCGAAAATATGGCTTACCAGCAAAATAACGGCTATAAAAATAATATATTAAGATACACTATAAAAAATAGGATATTTTAATTTTTATATGATTAGAAATCCATGGCTTCAAGATAGACTATCGCTACAATAAGGTTTGATTTGGATCCAGGGTCCGTGGGCTTGAAAATGCAGGGCCAATATAGTTGTTCATAATTACATTTGATATAATGTTAGCATTGAAATATTAAAAAAACATTTATCCCATTTTGATCATCTGTTATGAAACTCCTAATTTTTTAAATGACATTCATTATAATTGTAGTAAGCTTTTAAGTTATGAAATTATGATTCATCACTTCTTCATAAAATTTCCTTTCCTTCAATACTTTATTCATCAGAATACATCGTTCCTGATAATCAGAAAAGGATGTATATATAAAACCATATAATATGTAATATATAGTAATAAATTGTTGTATAATACTACTGCATTATATATTGTTGAGACTATGTCGGCAGTAACGAATGTTTAATGTTAAACAGGATCACATTCGTTACTTTAACATGGTGCCAAAGACATCACAGAATTGAGTATCAAAATATCTATAGAATTGAGAATGGGAAAAACTTACCATAAACTTAAAGCCTAAAAAACACTGGACAATTTGTCAGTGGATCCGAAGATGTACCAAATCATGAGAGAGGATAGTAAAAAAAAAAAAAAAAGAATAATTTATAATTTCTATAACATTATAAATTCTGTGATGTTTACTTGTTTTCAGTTTATAGACTAGACCTCAACAGAAAAAAAAAGAAACTATTATACTGTGTAAAGCTGAATGATTCTGAGACAAGAAATCAGAAAAAAGAACAGTTATCGTATCAATAGAAGTTTGGAGATTACAAGAAAAACAAAAAACAAGGGAGTAAAAAAAGTAAATAGAAATATTTTGGAGGTGATACAAAGTGGAGAAGATTAATAGCATAACAATAAGAGTTTTGTTGAGTAAACATTAAAAAAATCCCGCCTCTGTTCCACTTTAAGCACTAAGTAGTAATTTTTGCAAGTGTTTTTGTATCTGGATTAAAATATCTCAGAAACTAAAAATCGTACCTACATACTGTAGGCAAGGGAAATGTTCAGAATTTTATTTTATTTGTAATGAGCTATTACTCAAAATTGTATCTTAATGCCACTCTGTGTTAGAGTGGCAAAAAATATAGTATCACTGGTGTGCTTAAAGTAGAAAAGAGCCACAATACTATATTTTAAAAAAAATATATAAAGTATATTACATACCAGTTAAAGCTATAGCGATCATATAATTGTTGTATATTTGATACAAAGCATCAGGAAGATCTTCTAATGCACTATGTGGATTGGTAGCTTGAGGCACGTGTATGAAGTAAAAAGGAATCAGCAATAAAGAGAGGGTGACAAAGCCAAAGATTCCTGAAAATATAATCACTAATGATAATAGGATCAACTATAGTTATTTTATTAGAAGAAGATAACATATAAGGCAACTTTAATCCAAGATGGTAGAATGTACTTCAAAGTATCAAGTATCATAATTATATTAGATAATTAACAATTATCAAAGTATCATAGTTATTTTGGTAAGAATAGCAGTTTCCTTGATATTTACTAAAGTGCACTATCAGGTGAAAAAATTAGTAGAATTTGAATTTTTTGTGTCGGTGCATTGGCCCCTCACAACTTTGGCAGTCAATGTTTTTTGATAACTAAGCGGTGCTGTTCAGTTTCATGATGTAATTGTTGAGTGCTGAAGATAACATTATAATGTTGTATGACGAAAAGTTTACATTTTGACTTGGCTCTTGAATTATTATAAATTAATCCTAAATTTAGTGGGTCAAGTAGAAAAATATCAAGTTTTATACAAAATCAAACTTAGTCAGTTGTACTAATTCTAAATTATTGATTTAGACAATAATACAATAGAAGCATAGAAACTTTGCATCTGCAATAAGTAATTCAATTTTGCAGCAACAAATAATCGGTGGTTAAAATTTATTTTAATACATGGATGACCCCAAAATCTTCGTCATATTCTATTCCTTCTGAACCAATAACCTGTAGCACTGCTATCCGCAGAGTCTTTTTTCAGTACTTCGTAAGGCAGTACTGTCTCTGGGTTAACAATTGCTTAAGGAGGTAGATTTGACTGAGATCATACGCAAGCATGAGGTTTTCCCCTTAATTAGTCATTTAATTAAGAACACTCTAAGAGGAGTGAGTATGCACCAGGAGGGTTTCTTTATCCCAGGGTCAACCTATTGCTAATATAACAAAATAAAAGATAACCCTACCACAGCCGAATTTGTACCCAGGACCCGACACAGAGCTTAGGAGTTCAGTTTTTTACTTATTAAGATACCCTGCTCCTTTGCACTGCAAAAATAATAGTACAAGACTGATTCATCACTGACAGGAATCACCACAACCATCTTTACTTTAGAATGAATAATGATAATCTTCCATCCATAGCTATTAGCAAACTATTGATTTGAATTGAATCACTTTTGGGTTGAGCACTCTGTGGAGCCACATCACTAACGAGTTAGTAACCAGTGGGTAATTTTAAACACTATCCAGTTCAGTTTCCTTTGAGTAGCTCGATCTGCTGAGGGCCTAAACTTAATTTTTTTTAAATAACTATTTATTAGATAAATCTAATGGAAAATTAATCAAGAATAAAGGAATATTTCTCAAGGTAAAACAAAAAACAAATTATATAAGAATTAATAACTTCTTATTAAATATTTTTATCATCATTTACTTTTTTAAATGTAAAAATTGAATTAAATTAATAAATACTCACCTTCCCATCCAACAGCTTGCAAAGGTGGGATATCTTTTCCATTAACAAATTTTTCTTCAACTACCATTTGAATGGCGACTATGACTTGTGCTCCAAAAATTATTAAATCACCTTTATTAAAAAAAAAAAGTAAATTTTCATTTTATTTAACTAAAAAACAACAAAAATGTTAATAGTTGTTAGGGAACAAAGAAAAATGCTTTGTGATCTATTGAATTGAAAATTAGTGATATGAAATTTGTTTGAAAATTTAGTTCATCTTTATCTTGCTCACATACTACTTCTACTAGCGACGAGGATCCTATATCCAGCATAACCACTCTCACTGGTTCCTGCTTAACATCTGAGTTACTCCGGAGTAACTAGCTGAAAAATGAAAAGTCGAATGAAACTGAAATTGCGTATTTAAGTTATATATAGACCTGAGATGTTACAGCAACTTTTTCCTAAAAATCGGCTAACCAGAAGTGGTACTTTATATCAACAATGTTACATTTTTTTCCAATTTTCTTAAAAGAGACTCCATTTGATTTTGATTAAGCTTGGTGCATGAATGTATAATTAAATGGTCTTTAATGATATTTAAGTCTTATTCCCATTGATGTCACTGAACAGGGCTTAAGTGTCCAATGTTCAAAATGTCTTTCTCTAAAATATCTTTACTTTAGTTTATTATAAATAATTAACTATCTCTCATTGTTAGGAGTTATAAAAAAAGGCTAAATACAACTTTTGAAAGAATTTTATAATTGAATAAAGGAAAAGAAAGAAAAATAAGTACATCGATGGAAAATGGGGAATTTTAGAAAAAATAATAACTAATAAATAAAGTTGTAGAAGGTAATGGAGAGTGACGAAAATAATAATTTCTGAAAACTAACATTATTTAATGTAAATCACATATTTCCAAGGAAATTAAATTAAATTTTCTTACTAAATGTAAACTTTAAAAAACTTTTTCAAGTTGAAAAAAGTATTTAAAATCCACCAACCCACGGCAACAACATTGTTTAAGATACAATTTCATTGTACGATGCATTTCATAGTACTTGTGTGTAAGATGTGAAATATAAAATATTTCATGAATATGTTTTCAATCTTAAATACATTTACTGTAGTTTAATAACTTTAGATCTGATATTATATGTAAATAACTTGATATCTATTGTCCATTTAGGATGAAAAATCATCATGTAAACCTTAAAAAAATTAAATTAGTGTATAATTTAATGAATTTTCCCTTTGTGATATTCCAATAGTATCCACTTACAATTATTGTGACAACGTTTGGCCTGTCTATGACAGACAATGCAAATCTCTTAATTCCGTTCTAGTAAACTTTGCAATGGAAAATAACAGTTTAATAAGTAATAGTCATAAAATCGATAATCAACCATTGATATAAAAATAGAATTTTTGTTATTTTAATAGTAATAATGATTTGTTAGCTCTAAGCTTTAGATCAGTTAAATATGCACTTCAAAACTTTTATAATAGCCCAACATTTCCAGAAAATAATTTATATTCAAAGTAGAGCAGTAAGTAAAAGTTGTGTATATTGTATTGTGTATTACCAGATTTTTTTTATTTGCAAAAGTTAAGAACCTAAAAAATATATATAATTTTAATTTTAATATATCAATAAAATTTTAAAACCTTTAATAAAAAAATTACAACATAATCCTATCTTGCTGTTGAAAATTTGTTACTTAGTTCCTTTATATATTACTTTAAAAATAAAAATTTTAATAAAAAATAAACTAAGCAATAAATAATTTTTAATTTTATGTAGCATTTGTAAACTAACCAATAATTACATTACTACCACCGGTAGTATCATCGTTAGCATACATAACATCGCACAGTCCAACAATCACCAGACCTCCAAGTGTCAGAGCAATACCGATCCACATTTTAATAGTTATCCTTCGGCCTAAAAATATCACCGACAGCAGAGCAACAAATACAATAACAGCTCCTGGAAGAAAAAAAAATAATAGCTAATGCATTATATTTGAAAAATAACGATGGCAACTGAAAAAAAAAGAGGAAATTTCAAGCAATACTTAAATTTATAGTCTCTAATCAAAATATAAATTTAATAAATTATTAAGTTTCAGCTAACCTCGAAGCATCTGAAAACTACTGGCATAAGTAAAATTGAGACCAACGTACATTAGCGAAGTAGCTATCATGTCACACATAGCAGGTGGTAAGAAAATTAAAGGATTAAAACTTCTATTTCCTTTAACCAAATCATGTATATCCTCAGATCCATCCTTGAAAATTAAAACAAAAAGTTTAAAATAAAAATGATTATGAGAAAAAGAAATCGGGAATTTTACAGACATATGACAAGAATGGACTTAATAAGCCGATATTTGATAAAGTCCTAAACCTCAAGAATATAAAGGGATAGCTGGAAAGTTTATGAACAAGTTATACAAACTAAAAAGATATATTGAATATAATCAATTTATAAGAAATGTAATATTTATTCTTACTAACCGCGTTTCAAGCACTGAAGTTATTCAAGTACTGGTCCTTAGGTAGGTAAGTAAAAGGGTCTCGCTGGAGGATTTCCAGATTGCTTTTTAGAAAGCAAAGGTGGGTAAACAAAGTGTCAGGGGGGGGGGCAATATTCTTATAGAATATATTCTAAATATCTTGCGTGATAAATAATGTTAAAAGATAAAAGTTAAGGAACAGACACTCATTACAAAATCTCATTTTATATACATCTATAGACCGAAAAAAATTTATTTTATAAATAATATTGAAATATACAGAAAATACAGTGACATTGCATTATTATTAAAAATATAATAAATAAAATGAAAAATAAATGTGATAACTACCTGTTTCCTCTTTAGCCAATGGTAAATGACTTTAAAACACAAAAGACACAGAAATTCACCAAAAAACATACAACAGGCTTGGAAGAACGGATGATTAAATTCCCTCGGCTTGCCACCATCCGATCCAGTAGACTTCATAATATTAGCCCACCTGGTATTTATGGAAAAATTTAATTTCAGAAAAGTGCCATGATAAAGTATCACCACAATTTCATTTCTCATTATTCTTACTTTGTACTTATAGTGTTGATGGACCCTGTCGCCACCAAAATAAGAGATAATATTACTTGTTTCGTTGTCCAACCCATGTTTCTTGAATAGGAACTTAATTAATGAACAAATAACTCTTTAAACCATTCACTTTAAATCAGAATAAAAACAAATTAATTTATAACAGAAATAATATTAAACTATGCAATTTAAGACAAAGGCATTGTTTGCAATGAAGAAAGAGCCAGTGACATGTAACAAGTGGGTAACCTGCCCCTCCACTGAGCACACAGCCACTGCTCTTATCAGTAAAATTTAAAATCCAATTCTAATCTTTCCTTTTTTCAAAAAAAGGATGAAGGGTTCCCTCTCCCCTCCCCCCAAATATAGTCATTTTTTATGGTTACATTAAAGGCTTTATGTTAATATTAAACAGCGTTATTTAAAAATGCGTTATATTTAACAGCTTTATTAGAGGGAAAACGTGTTGTTCTTTTATATAGAACCGCTCCTTTATTATCTAGATGTCCAAAATATTTTTTTTAAAACGAATGTTAATATTCTAGCATTAGTAATAGCAACTTTTTTTACAACGGGCCAGCTACAAATGTTGTACGGGTAGTACTTTAACAGCTTATGATAATATGGAATAATTAACTCAAACTAAATCGTTAAAAAAAAAAATATATATATATACATAAATAAAACACTCAATTATGTAAATTTTTTGTGAAAACAATGAAAGGTATATGTGAAAAAAAAATTATAAAATGAAAAATTGAGCCTCCCTACTTTGCTATCAAGTATATTTTTACAAATAAAGCCAACAGAGAAATTCGCACACAGTTTTCAAACTGTACAGTGATCTCTTTTAATTATATTCATTGAGAAAAATTCGGGCTGAAGCTCCCCCCAAAATGGTAACATATAACCATGTTTTATAGAAAAAAATATCAAAAACTATCTCTTAAAGTATTGTTGTTCGTGTAATTACATTTAAAAGAAGAGTTTTTAATGAAATACTTGTTTTTCGTAGAAACAAATGCATATCGTCGGTTTATTGAAAAAAGTCATCAATTTATAAAAGTATTTTGATTAACTCTCCCTCTATGAAATCAAAACATTGTGAACTTAGTGTGACTAATTTTGAGATGTAATATTTTAATCTGATTGTGATATGCTCAATTACTTTTTGCCGATCGTAATTTACAAATATTTTTCCAAAAGTTTGGCTTTATCAATAATGTATTTAGTGACTGACTATTTGGATGAAACTGACGAAATGTATGTTTGTACTATGAACCCCAATATTTCCAATTATAATTATAAATATTAAATTATAATGTTCTAATAATGCAACTTTTTTTTAATTGGAATGTTTTTAGATATTTTCATAAAGTGTCTGACCAATGAAACAATCGTTCTACCAAGATTTAAGCCCAACATGTAGTTTATTACTTTCACTTACGTATATATGTAACATATAGTAAGGGTAAGTATTGCGATCGTGAAAATTTTCGAATCTCAGTTTTCAACAGAAATACATGTTTTGAGGTCCCCTGAGTCCAAATAACCAGGTGTCGCAAAATGGTCTGTGTGTATGTGTTAACAGTCAAGCTCATAAACGAAATGTAGTACGAAACTGATATTAATTATTTAAGGTTTGTATATGAGCCGGATGTGACAGCAACTTTTTCGTTAAAATCGTCTAACCGGAAGTACCACTTTAAATGAACGCTGAAACACATTTTTACAATTTTCTCAAAAATGGCTCTAATGATTTTGATTAAACTCGGTCAATCATTGTATAATTAAGTGGTCTTTAATATCATTTAAGTCTTATCCCCGTTGATGTCACTTTATAGGGCTTAAATGCCAATTGTTCATATATGTCTTCCTCTAAAGTAGCTTTAATATGGTTTACTTTAAAAAGTTAACCATTTCGCATTATTCAGAGTTACAAAAAAATGCTACATATAATTTTAGGAAGAATTCGATAAATTAATAAAGGAGAAAAAAATAAAAATGCAGAAAAACCTGCGTTGCTATAGACTGTAGCGCCTAAACGGATGTACCGATTTCAATGAAACTTCGCTAAAGTCATTTTCTCGATACCCTTTAAATTTATCTATATAACATACTTCAACGAAAAGAAGGTGGAAAAAAGTTACAAGGGTTGTTAAAATTAAATTCCGAATAACTCAAAAAGTATACGCTTTTTTTTTGTGAATATTTTATATGGTTTTTTAAAAGTTTATGGAATTCCCTAAAAAAAAAAAAAAAAAAAAAAAAAAAAAGGGTTAAAATATAAATATAAAATAAGGAGGGAAGATATGGTCTCTAGTTTTTCCCCCTGAAGAGGCGAATATTTGTATAAATTTAAAATATACTTTTTTGATTGTTGAGACTAAAAACACTTTTTTTCTACTGATATTTAATAAAGTATCTTACCTCAGAACATCTTTCACAAGAAATAAGTATCTAAATTTATACCTTTATTCTCAGTTCTATATTTCAACACCACAATCACCACCTCCGGAATCAACTTACTGTCTGCATAGATAACTTTTTCAACTAAAAATATTACTAAATTGACATTACTCAAAAATGTTAAAATTGGAGTTAGTCATTCTGTGGTTTATAAAAGCAAAGAAAGTTATGTGGTTTATAAAAGCAGATGAAGTGACTAGATTTTTATTGCCTACCGTCGATATATTAAATAGACATTTTGTAATTATAATGGTCTTAATGACTTGTTATCTGTAAGCTTTAAGCTTTAGCTCCGTTTAAAATGCACTTAAAATTTTATAATAGCCCAGCATTGCCAGAAAATAATTTCTATTCAAAGTAGAGCGGTAAATGAAAGTTGTATGTTGAGCGCACCAGATATTTTTTTTTATAATGAGAAACACATCAACTTGGAAGAGCATATGAATTAGACATTTATTTTGGATAGAATAGTTTTGTAAATTTGGATTAACGTCTTAATTTATTTCATTCTTTAGTTTAGGTATTTGTAAAAAACAACCGAAATTATTGTAACTTTTAATTCCCTACATAATTTCTTTATCCTTTTAATTTTTTTTTTAGGCGCATCTGTATATTTAAATACATAACTGGGAGATTATTAATCAAGTAATTAGCAGCAAATTTAGAGATTATTTACTGTATTTTCAAGTTCTCTTTACTGTATCTTTTGCTGCGATTTTAGGATTTTTTTACCGCATATTCTGTGGGTTTTTACTGCATAAAAATCCGGGCCTTGCTTACCTACTATATTAATAGCTACTATATCATCTTTGAAGCAAACATTTTGGTTATTTTGTTCAATGTCATGTTCAAATTGTCCCAACATATAATGTTAAAATAACTGATAAACCGGTTAGTTTTGTCTGCGCTAGTCAAAGAAGTTAGTATACACCAAGTTCATTTTCAGATCTCCTTCTATCAATAAGGAGGAGGAGGTGCACATATTAAAGGGAGGAGGAGGTGTACATATTAAAGGGGGGGAGGAGGTGTACATATTAAAGGGAGGAGGAGGTGTACATATTAAAGGGAGGAGGAGGTGTACATATTAAAGGGAGGAGGAGGTGTACATATTAAAGGGAGGAGGAGGTGTACATATTAAAGGGGGGGAGGAGGTGTACATATTAAAGGGAGGGAGGAGGTGTACATATTAAAGGGAGGAGGAGGTGTACATATTAAAGGGAGGGAGGAGGTGTACATATTAAAGGGAGGAGGAGGTGTACATATTAAAGGGGGGGAGGAGGTGTACATATTAAAGGGAGGGAGGAGGTGTACATATTAAAGGGAGGAGGAGGTGTACATATTAAAGGGAGGAGGAGGTGTACATATTAAAGGGAGGGAGGAGGTGTACATATTAAAGGGAGGGAGGAGGTGTACATATTAAAGGGGGGGAGGAGGTGTACATATTAAAGGGAGGAGGAGGTGCACATATTAAAGGGAGGGAGGAGGTGTACATATTAAAGGGAGGAGGAGGTGTACATATTAAAGGGGGGGAGGAGGTGTACATATTAAAGGGGGGGAGGAGGTGTACATATTAAAGGGAGGAGGAGGTGTACATATTAAAGGGGGGGAGGAGGTGTACATATTAAAGGGAGGGAGGAGGTGTACATATTAAAGGGAGGGAGGAGGTGTACATATTAAAGGGAGGAGGAGGTGTACATATTAAAGGGAGGGAGGAGGTGTACATATTAAAGGGAGGAGGAGGTGTACATATTAAAGGGGGGGAGGAGGTGTACATATTAAAGGGAGGGAGGAGGTGTACATATTAAAGGGAGGAGGAGGTGTACATATTAAAGGGAGGAGGAGGTGTACATATTAAAGGGAGGGAGGAGGTGTACATATTAAAGGGAGGGAGGAGGTGTACATATTAAAGGGGGGAGGAGGTGTACATATTAAAGGGAGGAGGAGGTGCACATATTAAAGGGAGGGAGGAGGTGTACATATTAAAGGGAGGAGGAGGTGTACATATTAAAGGGGGGAGGAGGTGTACATATTAAAGGGGGGGAGGAGGTGTACATATTAAAGGGGGGGGAGGTGTACATATTAAAGGGAGGAGGAGGTGTACATATTAAAGGGGGGGAGGAGGTGTACATATTAAAGGGAGGAGGAGGTGTACATATTAAAGGGGGGGAGGAGGTGCACATAAGTGAAAACTTCTTTAGGCGCTTTTTGCATTTTTTTAAATTGTATAAAGTGAATTAGATTGTGCCATCAGATCTCCAATATGTAACTCTCGGGTAAAGTCTTCTGAAGTCGAGCAAATGAAGTGTTTTTTGCATATGGTTTAAAATATCTCAGAAACTAAAAAAAGAGCCTCATATTGTAAGCGAGGGAATTGTTCAGAATTTCATCCTCTCTGTAATAGGCTATAATTCAAAATTGTATCTTAACGTGACGTCATGTTAGAGAGGCGAAAAGGAGAAAAAAAGTGGCGAAAACCAAATGATGAGTTTTATGGAATATCTAGATTAAAATATCCCAGAAATTAAAAATAGGACCTATATACTGTAAGCTAGGGAATTTTTCAGCATTTCATCCTCTTTATAATGAGCTATTATTTATAATTTATAAATTTCATATTATTAATCTCGTCTTGTTTTCACTTCTATCGTTTAGTATAAAGCACACAAGTTAGTTGTTTTTTTTTTTCAATACAGTAATCGCTATAGGGCCCCTTTCACGGTCAATGTTATTGAAGCAATATAATTGAAGGTCCCCTTACGCCTTGAATCAATATTATGTCAGTTGCGATCTT